ATGGATTGCCAAGATAATACAGTCCATCTTTCTCATGTCCCTTGATAATAATCCTCCTGGTACTCAGGTCCTGCAAATAACACGAATCAGATAAGAATACAACCGCACAGTAAAAATCTCTGGCTAACTGATGTACAGATAATAGATTCATGGCCAACTTTGGCGCATGAAAAATCGAACGTAATGTAAGGCCGTCTGGAGGCGGACTATACCCTTACTAACAATAGGGGCATGGGTCCCATCTGCTAACTGAACCTGTATATGTAACTGCTCGTCAAAAGTGGTGAAGTGATGGGCTTCACCTNTACCCTTACTAACAATAGGGGCATGGGTCCCATCTGCTAACTGAACCTGTGTATGTAACTGCTCGTCAAAAGTGGTGAAGTGATAGGCTTCACCTGTCATGTGACCATTCGCACCTGAGTCCAACATCCAAAGGGGAGATGAATTGGCACAAACGTGAAAGGCACGAGGTATACCTGTAGTGGTGACAGCAGTAGTAGTCAGACTCTGAGAAGTCAGAGCAGACATAAGTATATCTAATCGGGAAGTGATAGCATCCATATCACTCTGCCAAGGTGGAGCAGCAGCAGCAAGAGTAGCAGTAGTGGGTGGTGGTACCTCAGCAATAGCAACAGTACGGCTGCGAGGAGGTAGCTTAAGCTCTGGATGGAGCTTCCAGCAAGTAGCCCTGAGATGTCGTGATCGGGCACAATAATCACAGTGACGGGAATCCCCCTGTCTGCGCTGATCTGAGGCACCCTGACGAGAATTCCCTTGTCTGCGCTGATCTGAGGCACCATGACAGCGCTGATCCGAGCGCTGCCCACCCCTGACTGAGGATCCTGAACGAGATCCTGCAACAACTGCAAGGGCCATCTGGTCAGCCGAAGAAGTCAAAGCCGCAACTAGAAGTGATGCAAAACGGACTCGACGCTCATGCTGCTCAATCATCTCATACACCTCATAAAGAGAAGGAAGTGTCAACATCGACAAGATCTGAGAACGAGGTCCCTCAAACTCATCACGAAGCCCCATAAGGAACTTGTGAATCCTATCCTCCTGCTCTCGAGTATGCAAGAATGCTGCTCCCTCGGGCTCTATCTTCGGAATAGCAGCAAGAGGACGTAGAGTCTCATACTCAAGCCAGTGCTGGGTCAAATAGCCATAATAATCCTGAACGGTTATATCTCCCTGCCGAGCATATGAGAGCTCCTGAGAAAAGCTCATAAACATGAACTCTCGTCCTGACTGAGAATACATCTCT